TGTCAAAATTTATATGAATCTAATAAAAACTCAATTTTCAAAAAAATGTAAAAATGGACTGTTTCTATTGTCCGCACCCCATATAGGCAGTCTAAATTTTTGTGGTTAGCATGTGATCTAATTCATGGTGGATCTACTATCAGGAGATCTATATGATCATTTACAGATGTTAAAATTAGAGCTTACTGATTTCTTATTCGAATAATATTCGAATAACTTAATTCAGCAAATATTTATTCGAATATTCCGAATAAGTACTATTTATTCGAATAGCATATATGTGAACCAACCAATGACTGAAGTTTCACATGATAAATAATAAAAATTATTCGAATAAAATTTGCTTATTAAATTATTCATTTATTCGAATATTCGCCAAATACATTATTCGAATAACGAATACGCCCAAGTTAAGGTAGTGATGCATAAAAATCTGCTGTAAGATCGAATGTCACGACAATCTGACGATCATTGCATTGGTGTAACAATACGATACATCTTGCATTTAACTGAAAATTTACATTAAATTCGCTTCGTCTTTAACTTCAGTATAATTACTGCGTGGTCAATAATATTCCATAATGGCCCAACCTTTCAAGCCAACTCCAGCATCCCAACAAGTTGTTGAGGATACTGGTACGTATAAGTACATGTTAAAACGTTTTAAAATTTATTCCTCAGAATTTCATAATCATAAAATTTAACTGTATTTACAGCCAAAATAATGGACAGAACATGGGAGGTTATTCAAGAAAAAACATTTACAAAATGGTAAGTAATTGGTTAAAATTTGTTCTTATAAATTGATATATTTATATAGTTCTTTTATCTTTCTTTTATTATAGGGTGAATAGCAAATTAGCTGATAAAAAAATTGAACCTATTACGGATTTGACTCAAGCAATGTCCGATGGTGTTCGTCTCATTCAACTTTTGGTGAGCCATTTAGTAATCATATGTAATGGTTGACGTTAATATTTAGATATGGAGCCGGATAATGTCTCAGTTATTCGATATGGATTATTGAATTGGTTAGTCAAAAAACTTTAAATAGAATATTGGTTATAAAAATTAAATATTCATTATTAATTTAGCGACTCAGCCTGAATAAAAAGTCAACCTTAACTCTCTAATATGTTATCAAATTAATTTCATCTTAAGTATTTATATTAAGATACGTATTCACTCAATTTAGGAAATTATTGGAGATTATTCATTTAGCAAATATAATAAGAATCCAAAGTTACGAATTCAAAAAGTTGAAAATGTTAACAAAGCCTTAGAGTTTATTAAACATCGAGGTGTACCTCTCACAAATATTGGTGCTGAAGGTAGAAATTGTTATGATTATTATATATAATCATTAGGGATTTAATAATTTGTTATGAACTGAATGCAGTGACATTATTCACATTTATGCTGATATACTATAGCTGTTATTCTAATTATTTGTTATTACCTTTTCCGACTTGCATAAATGTTAACCAGATATTGTTGATGCCAGTCTTAAACTTATTCTTGGTATGATTTGGACTATTATATTAAGGTTCACAATTGCTGATATTAGGTTTGTAAATTCTTACAGTAGCATTATATAATTATGGTTATTTGTCTCTATTATTCATATATCTTTGTCAATCTAATATTAGCCAAGAAGGACTTACAGCTAAGGAAGGTCTTTTACTTTGGTGTCAAAGAAAGACTGCACCTTATGCTGAGGTCAATGTTCGTGACTTTACTTATAGGTATGAAATATTGTCTTTAACGACATTTGTTTTCTTAAATTATTGCCTAATTATAATTTTTATGCCGTTAAGCTGGCAGGATGGCTTGGCTTTGTAAGTTTTGTGTTTTTCTTTCTTTGTGAAACTAAATAAATAGGCGCATTATGTATAGAAAATATGTTTATATATGTTTTTTTTGGTTTTTTTTACATAGTTGTGCTTTGATTCATCGGCATCGTCCTGATCTTCTAGACTATGACTCCTTAAACAAAGTAATTGTTTCAAATTATCCTCCAGAGGTCAAATGCCTTAGAGTACCTTTATAATATTTAACATCCATATTAAAATCAGGCAGACCGGCATTCAAATACTGCTTTGGCATTTGAGGTAGCAGCGACTAAACTTGGTATAACAGTAAGCTGACAGTATGGAATTTTCCTTTTAATAATATATATAAATGCAATTGGTTTAATTAATAGTTGATCTCATTTTCAGCAATTATTGGATGTTGAAGACGTCTGTGATATCCAAAAACCAGATGAAAGATCTATAATGACCTATGTTGCACTATATTTCCATGCTTTTTCACATTTGGGTATGTATTGTTATTTTTGTTTGGATTTTAATATTAGATTTTTATTCTCATATAATACTTTGTTTTCATTAAAAAGACAAGATAGAGACTGCGGGAAGAAGAGTCTCTAAGTTTGCGGAAGTAATGCAGTCGGTTTGGGATATGGAGCATGATTATGAGAGGCGTGTCAAACAGGTAAATTGTGTATTATTAATATTATTTTTAAAAATCCGATAATTTTATTTATTAATTATGATTACAATTAGTTAATGCAAAATGTTACAGATAAAAAAAATGCCTGGGCCAATTCTAAATTTGATGGAAGTTATTCTCATGCTAAACGTCAGTTGGCTGAATTTAATCAATATAAAGGCAATGAGAAACGTGTTTGGGTATCCGAGAAAAGTGATATAGATACCTTACTTGGTAACATTCAGACTAAACTCAAAACATACGAATTACAGCCTTATCATCCACATACAGGACTAACACTAACTGATTTGGATAAGGTTTGGCAAAGTTTGATAGATGCTGAAGTTAAACAATATAAAACGATTAATGACAAAATCAGAGAGTAAGTTATTGTTTTACAATCGGAACCTCATTAAGAACATCGTTTTGATTGTATTCTAAACAAATCAAACTAACTTTTTTTATTATTTTATAGAATCAAGGAAAGTTTACGTAGAACATTTGCTCAGTCTGCGAATGATTTTCAGAAAAGCTTGGATTCCATATCTCACGCATTGACTGAATTAGATGGTAGATTAGATGTACGTACATCTACTCATTTAGTTATTTATTTTATATTTAATTAACTTTATTATATTGATTTGCACAGGATCAACTTTTGACAGTTAAAAGTCTTTCAGCCAAGTTGGGCCCATTAGAAAACTCTCTTCGACGTATTGAGGAGCTTGATGTGCAATGTAAAGAGGCAAATGTTGAAGAAAACGATTATACGGTTTTCTCTATTGATGATTTAAAATTTGAATTGGGACTTGTACAGCAAGCGATCAATAAAAAATCTGCATTCATTGAAAATCAAGTAATTTTTTTTTTCATTAATTCTTTGCGCATTATTTAGTATTTAACAAAATTATTTATACGCATAACAGATGGTAGCAAGGAACATGACAAACCTTACACCAGCTCAATTAGAGGAATTTGAAGGTACATTCCGTCATTTTGATACCGATTCGTCGAATACATTAAATCCATACGAATTCAAGGCTGCTCTGGCTAGTTTGGGAATAGTTTATGATGTAGGCTATATTATTTATTTATTCATAAAGTAAATGTGTAAATGCAGATTAGGACTGAACGGGTTTATTTTTGTTATAGGATACGGAGTTGAATACAGCATTTAACCAAATGTGTGAAGGGCAGTCTGAAGCTTCTTTTGAACAGGTAAGATTTAACGTTATGCCATTATTGAGTGTAATGACATAATTTATATGCGTATGTCTCCATACTAATGTTTATAATTTTAATTTTTTCGAATTTTCATTTATTTTCATTTATAACCATCAGTTTATCCGTTATATGGTTAGTGTTACAGAAGACAAGACTTCACCCGACCAACTTCGGCAATCATTCAAAGTTGTAGCTGGGGACAAACCCTTTGTAACAGAACTTGATCTAAAAAGATCATTATTGCCAGAAAATGTTTTATCTTATTTAAAAGAAGCTATGCCACCACTGGAAAGTGGATATGACTATTCTAAATATTTGGATCAAGTGTTTCAACAGTAAATTGTTTATTTAATGTTTTTATAATGTATTGCCTTTTTTTTTGGTACAGTAATTTTATAAGAAACATATGAATTTAATGTTATTTATTGACTTAATTTTCATAATTGATGGATTATATTTATTAATAAGTATTTTCAACTGGATCTGAAATGTAAAGAAATAAAACGAGTGAATGATATTGGCTTTGAACTTCGAAAAGCCAAAATACTGATTATTTAAAAATTTATTTTACTATATTGAATCTTTAAGATTTTCCAAACCTGATAGGACATTTGAGTCATTTTAATAATTGTTGCAAATTATAATGAAACTGATTAAAATGAAATTTGGAGGTTATTTTTAAGCCTCTCAAAACACAAATATACTCTTATTAAAATCATACTCCTAAATTCAAAAAATACACCCACAAATTTTATCACAACGCGTAAATTTCAAATTAAAGCGGTGTTTTATTTTAATCCGATTTTTATTGACACTGGTTGGTAGTCGTTAGATCAGATAGGTAACACTTAGGCGGGTAGCCACTAAGTAGTGATAGCAAAACAAAGCATTTTTCACATGCGATATTTATGATTTGGATAGGTTGAGCCTGGATTTTAATGTATTCTAACCATAATTATCACATGTTTTGGTTTACAATCTAACTATTAAGTATAAAACATTACGTATCATTGCGTGATAAATGGCGCGTTTCTTACATTTATCTTTGACCAGAAACTGGCAAATAATTTTTTAAAAATTCAGCCAGTCAACAGCTATAAAAGTTAAATTCTAGTAACAGCTTTTTATATATTATTTTTTACGTCTTTTATTTGTTCCAATTTTCATAGAAAATTTCGGCTTCCCTTTTAAGGAATCGAACTTTCTTTTTTGACGTTCATTCTTTTTAGGTTTGTTGTTAACTTTTAAATTTACATCATTATCCTCATCATCATCCTCATCAACTTTAAATAAATCTTTTTCATCATCATCAACTTCAAATAAATCTTTTTTAACACCCCTTGAATAGCCATTCATATTATCATGTTCACTCTCTATATCCGAAAATTCATCATATAAGTCATCATTATCATCATCTTCATCATCCTCAGAATCATTCTCAGAGTCATTCTCAGAGTCATTCTCAGAATCATTCTCAAGGTCATTCTCAGAATCATTCTCATCATCCTCAGAATCATTCTGACTATCCCCTGAAATATCCAGATCTTCGGAATCACTTTGAAAATCGCCAGTACGTTCGTTGACATTGTTCTCGAGATCTGATGTTTGTTCTTTTTGCCCAACTAGCTTTCCTATAGTGTGCAGGAAAATATGAATGCATATAGTATCAAGAGAGTATATTTGTATTAGCTAGAAAGTCAAACCTTTTTTTCCGCCACTTGTAATAAAGCGGTGAGCCTCCTTTTCAGCTTGCTTTCTCTCAACATTCTTTTCCTGTTCCTTTCTCCTCAGTGCAGCTAGTTGCTTCCGTTGTTTACGTTCATGTTGTATCCTTTCGATTTCTTTAGGTGTTTTATGAACTATTTTATAATGATAAAATAAGATACATTTGCATATTGCCTAAATAGAAATATTAATAAAATAAAAAATAAATATATACATACTAAATTCATGGTACAATACTTCCCCATCACATAATCCAGCCTGAATTTTAACCAATAGCAATTCCATACGAGGACCTATTTCCCTTAATTTAACAGCACGTTTATCTGATTTTCGGTTATTCTTGCCAACAAAATTTTGAGCCAAAGTTACGGTTGCCTCAACACCACTTTCTGCTTCACTCTCCGAGAAATGATCTTCTCTATTGGTATCATTATATAAACATTAGGTGCTTTAAAGTTATTACTAAAATAATATTTCTTACCTTAATACATATTCACTTATATCATTATATTTGTGTAAGTCAGGAACATTGGTTGAAACAATTCTTCGTACGCTTTTGCTTAAACCAACAGGTTTCAGATCAATATTATAATGCCTAAAGTCAATATGTTTTGTATCGGCATTATAATTAAAAAGAACAACTCTACGTGCTTCTGACAATTGAATCTTTCAAGAACATATATGTAAGCGTTTGTTTAAAATAATAAATATATAAATGTCATAATATTACCTTATTAACATTAATCGAAGGGAACATATTTTGAAACATATTTATCATCAACTTCATATGATTTTCCTCTCCTTTAAAATTGTTCAAAACTAGCTTTTTTTTTTTTTTTAGAGTATATAATTGTTTTTCAAATATAACCAAAGATTATTACTAATTATGTAATTACAAATGGTGGGATGATATTAATTAATTATACATACCAAAGGAGAACAATTGTACTCTGTTCCAAGATTTTTTGGATTTAATTGTGACGATAAAACGTCTCCAATCAATGAATACTTCAATACCTTGAAACATAAAGTGGGCCCTCTGGGTGTTCTCGTTAATCTGAAGTTGGTTCCATTATCTGTACGTGTAAATATTAAGAATTGGGTTACACCTAATGGGCCTGCCATAGATACAAAATCCTTTAGTCTATTTCTCTTGCGTTCCTATTACAAGAAAAAAAAATTGAATTCCATAAATTAAGAGCAATATAATTTAAGAGCAAAAATAAGAGCAAAAATGGATTTTACCTTTAACCGTATAGCAGTATTGGGTTCCATCACTTTACGTATATCTTTTACTAATGCTGCTACAGATTTACCAACTTTTCCCGACTTGAAAACAAAACTTTTTTGTACTTTGGGAGCCTCAGGGTTTGCGGATTCGTCCGCTTGTGGGACATGAGTTTTTCTTTTTCTCCTCTGATTTTTTTTTTTTAAAAAAATACATTAAAGACTTATTAAATTTTTACTATAAAATACATAATAAATGCTTACTCTCTTAGCCATTAAGAAAATTAAAAATGATCTCGATCTATGTAAACGGATCTTATATATATTTGAATAATATCATTCACGTGATCCTGGTCGATCAAAATTATCAAAAATTTTTTATCATCTGCCCGATTTTCTAAGTCGAAATTGAAATGCTATTTTCTTGTCAAAATGTAAAATTGACTAAGCTAGAAATTGGCTTTAAGCCAAATATTTTAATACAGCTTTTGAAGTTTGATTAATGTTATACATTATTTCATCTCTACACAAATAATTATTGCATGGGTTTTCAAACTATCATTGTTTAACAATAATGATAATACAAAATATTTATGGGAGAATTTCATGACTATATTGTAAATGATCAAGGAAAAAAAAAGATTGATAGCTTTACGCAATAACAAAGAAAATAAATTCAAAATATAAAATAAATTGATATTTTCCAGATATCAATACAATGTAAATTAATAATACACAATATTATCCCACCTTTTTAACATGCAGCCTTGGCTTTAGGAGCAATTTTCTTATTAACCACAGTAGGATCCACAGCGTATCCTGAACCTGTTGCCACATCACCATCAAAATGAAATAATGCATCTATTCCAATAGTCTGATCCGAAGGAATAATACCATCAACGTTAAATTCATCAATACCATAACTCATGTCATTTATATAAGTGATCATGTCAATATCCATTAAGTTATCGGATGTTGTAGGGTCAGAATTGTTAATATCGGTAGGAACAAACGTTGGCATAAACACCTCGGACTCAAAGAAAACAAAAAAAAAAAAAAAAGCCATTAGAATATAAGGGAACAAAAGTGAACGATTTATTCCAACGAATTCAAAAATACTTACAAGATCATTAATATTTCCACCCGTATTTAACATAGAAAAAGTATTATCATCAGACAAAGCTAAAGCATCCATAAAAGTTTCCATTTGATATGCCAAAACGTTATCAATACCATTCATAGCGTTAATATTATCACCATTCTCTAATGCAGGTTGGTTCGTAGAGACATTAAAGTTAATTGCATTATTAATCGTGGCATTTTCAGGAAAATTTAATGTGTTGTTAGTCAAACTATCAATATTAAAATTGTTAACGTTAATTTGATTCTGAATTTCCGATGATTCTTTGCAAGATGCAGACGATGGATCAATTCCTATGTTATTAAAATTCGTAATATCAGCCCAATAAGGTGATGGCTCAAACTTAGAAATTGTGTTTTCGAGCATATGTTCAATTTCATTTTCCGTACAAAGTTGCATGTTATTAGATGAAATAGACGTATCGATGGCTGAATCATCGACATGAAAGGGTGGTTCAGTTACCCTTACATCCAAAATGTTATTAGTCATACTATCTTCAATAACATCATCGCCGTAAATTTCAGCAAAAGGATTAACGAACATATGGTCTAACTTGGCAATGTCAAACTCTTCGTCTGATGATTGTTCTCTGGGAAATTCTGTGTCGATAAAATCTTTCTTGAACGAAAAAGGGTAGATAAATTCGGCGATATGACTTGAATTTTCTGAAAATGGGGGAATATCAACTCTATCAAAAATTTCTTTTGAAATTTGTTTTGACAACGGAGCTTCATTTGAAGGTCGCTTAGAATTTGTTCTCGCCGGTGGGATGATTTTAGTAGTATCATCAACTTTTTTTGAAGTTCGTTTAGAACTTAATTTCGCCGATGAAGTATCAACATTCCTTGAAATTCGTTTAGAACCTAATCTCATTAATTGAGCTTCGACTTCCTTCGAAGAACGCGTAAAATTTGTTCTCATCTCAGTCCTATCGATTTCCTTTGATGCACGTTTTGGTTTGGTTTGGGTCGACGAAACATTATCTAATCTTCCCAAAGTTCGTTTAGAATCTTTTTGTATCGAAATCTTCTTGGATCCATTCTTAATTACATGGTCATAACGCGCATTTCCTTTACCCTTTGTAACCTTATTTTTGATATGGGCATTTGAATTCTTTATTTTAACACCAGATTCGTTATTATCATCGCATTGGATATCCAAAATAGCAAAATCATTTGTAATTGAATCATGTATAATTGGTTGACCCGATAAATGAGTTTGTTTATAATAAAATCCTTTACTTTTAAGGATCTCAATACATGTATCGATTAAAGTTACGACTTTAATCGCACCATCAAGTGCACCATCAGGACTTTCTTGTTCTGCTTCGTATAACATTGTCTTGATTGTGGATTTCATAGAATTCACTGAATCTAAAGAAATTATGTTATTGCGAACAAGTTTTATTTTTCTAACGTTTTTATCGGAAGTTATTGTCATTTTGCTGAACCGAAAGAGAGAAGATACAGTAATATATATATTCAGTTTGAAGATCAAAGAAATAATAAACTGAATAATTGAAATTATTCGTTTAAAAGAATAAATAGGGTCACCTATTGTCATTACAAAAAAACGTCATGATTTCGTAGTTAATTTTAGTTCATTCTTTAGTTTACTTTTTAAAAAAAAAAAAGGTTAATATGCTGACATCTACACGTGCTTTTCTATTATATTTACATCATTCTAATTCAAGGTTGGCTTGTGAGCTTAAAATCAACTATCACTTAAGCATACCTGGAACCTATAATAATCTTTTTTTACAGACTATAAGCCTGAAATCTAATAATACATTGCAGTTACGTAAATTTAATCGTGGCATGCATATTTTGGAACTGAGAAATTTAGTGATATATTCGATTTATTCTTTATCGCGATGTTGATTTCTCAGATTTAATAGATTAGATAAAAATTTATTACAAGAAAAATTATCTGAATAATTCTAAATGATTCAATTCGGCGGATTTGTGGAATTCGACCTTTATTCAAAACTCAATATTTTTAAAAATTGACCTATTAAAGAATAGAAAGGTCAAATCAACCGAATTGTATATATACATTGAAATATATCGGTATCTCAATCAAAAAACTTTTTTTACAGTTACCTAAAGCAACTCTTATGTAATGATAGAGATTTCTTGGGGCCCTGTTCCGGGTCCAGTTAGTGTTTCAACTTTGTGCATGTGAATTTGATTTAAATTAAGTTGCGTATCTAACGCTAACGTTAACATTAAAAATTAAAAGTATCTGGTATACACGACTTATCGTTATATAAAGACTTTCTCATTTCTTTACACCTAGCAGCTAGTCGATATGGCAAACAATATTTACTACTAAGAATTATTTCATCAAAATTATTTGCATTTTTCAGGAAGATACCACTTTAACCTTATACCGTTTATTAATAGCGAAATCATTAGACACGCGGTCTCTAAGAAAATGCGTATACAATTTTCAATTCCATACACATGTATGTGTGTGTATATGTCGTACGTCGGAATGAATTTATCTTGGATTTAGAATCCACATAGGTTGATTCAAATAATCATAGGTTGTAATAGAATTCTAAATTGTATTCGAAATTCAATTTAACTTATATTAAAATTAAATGGTTCCTAAATTATTTTATCTAGTATATTGCACTTTAAGATAAAGTTTATTTATAACGCACAAAAATTAAATTTTTTACGTTTACAATTATTTTTATTGCACACACTTTTGCAATTGCAGAATTGCATTTACTGCACTTTTCAAATTACTGGGATCAGCAAATTTTAGGCATCATACACCACATGGGAATCTAATTTTTAAAATGCAAATCTATAATTAGCTAAAAAATTATGTTAGTTTATTAGTAATCAAATTTTATCCTATTAAAGTTAGTTGAAGTTTAAAATTATCTGTTTTCGAACTTTGGACGAAGATATCTCAATAACATTCCTCATTAATTTAAATATTTATGACTATTTCGAATTTCATTACCCGTATTTTCGGAATCGCCACCCAAAAAAGTTTCGAAAATCATGATATTGTCAATTCATGATTAGGATCATGATAATAATAATATTTATTAAGTGTTTTTTCTTCGATTCTTCACTTGGTTTGTCGAGGTTGCAGCGATCGCTTTTCATTTTGATTCTTTTAAAGGTATAAAATTCAATTAACACAATATTCTAAGCATATACATCGATTGCTGCATCAGAAAACCTTTTAGATTTTATTTTTAATGCTCTTCCGGAAGATTATAACTCTGATTATTTATTGAGCAAAAAGTTTTATAATTCTGAATCCAGAACGCAACAAAAAAATTGTTGAGGAAAGCATAATAATCCAATCGTAACAAATGGCTCGATAGTATTAATAAAAACTTTGAGCCATTCATATTTGCTTCCTTTTGTAGTCTGTAAAATTCTTGTTTTATAAATTGGAGGAGGATTATAATCATTTTAAAAGGCAATGGAATATTCCAAATACTTAAAAACCCGTAATCATAACACAGTCGACTTTGGGTATAATGAACCTTCCTAAAACGAACTCTGGATATAATGAACTCAAAATTTTGAAATTTCATAATAGTTCGGTATAAAAAGTGACATGGTTCTTAACATAATAATTTTATATAACGAATTTTTTTTTCTTCCAAAATCTTCAGTTCGTTATAGAAAGAGTTAACTGTACTTTCTGGCTGTAACAAATATTACGTTTATTGGAGTTTATTC